GATGCGCTGTTAAAAGCTCTACACAATCTGTATGAACAAATCCCTATTGCAAAACGAAAAAGGTCTTTCAAACATTTCTCCAATGCTCAATACGGTGAGACATAGCGCCACCATGTAGGTTGTTCGTATTAAGCATCGGAAAACCATCAGAACCAGTTAATAGAGATTTCTTTATACAGTTTTTGTAGAGCTTTTCACGGTGCATCTTTTACGAAAAACATCAAGATTTTATCATTTTCTCAAGTCGAGATAAATGAGAAATACAAAATGTTGCAAAACTTTTGGAACACCCGGTATTTGGAATTAGCATAAAAAGCCGATTTGATCTATGTGTGACAAAATCCTCTGACTGCTTGTATGTTTTCTGATAAATTGAGCCGTGGTTCCCCTCAGGGTTGCGTCGAAACATAAAATCAGTCAAAACGTCCTTTTGACTGTGAAAAGTAAACAAATTAAGCTCCACCTGATAATGTCATTGTGTAGACTTTTCAAAACCTCCTATCAAATAATATATAATACAAAATGAATTCCAGCTTTTTCATAGCTCAATAATGACGAAGTTTTGTCATGGATATTCTCATATTCTACACGTAATCAAACAATAACATCTAAACGTAAAAGAATCCTATTTTTTCATATTCATCTATGCTATTTGATCAAGTAAAGAAAGAGTTTTCATCCGATATATGACAAATAGAAGGTCGATAACATCGAGTTTTGAGTAGGTTACGCGCAGCCACATGGAAGTCTAACAGTCTAATTCGAACGGTACCTGATTTCTGACATTCGAATTGGCTATTGGAGAAATAATAAACTCAATTTCGAGAGAAGATCGATTACATCGTTTAATGACTTTCTTTCTTTTTATTTTATTTTAATAAAATGTCATTCTATTAACAGTTTGAATACACACATAAATTTCCATTGGCAAATCAATATTTTTTCGTTAATGGTCATTTAGCTCATGCAGAATCAACAATGAAAGATTTAGAAGTTAAAAGTGGTTCACTATTTGTTTTATTTTTAATTGAAAAATGTGAAGTAAATAATACAAAATTTTAAAACTTAGCTTCATTTTGAATGTATTTAATTGTGATATAAAAAATTATTTTAAAATAAAAATCATAAATTTCTTTTCTAATTCCAGATAAAATGAGTCTTTTAGGATATAGTACTGGTCGTATTCAATTCATACCAAATAATGATGAAGCTCAGGAATGTAATTATTCTGAACGATCAGTCATTCAATTATATTATCATGATGATAATAGTTATTCATTGAAGGCAATTGACATTGAAAATGATAAAAGAGTATTAAAATTATTTGATCTATTTTTTGATTATATTAAATTTTTTTTTTGTTTTTTTTCACAGGAAATTTTTAATATTTTTCTAACAGATGATGATCAGTACGATTTTGGATTATCAGACGATGATCCTGATGAAGCAAAAGATACGAATGGAACTTATCAGTTATGGTTAAATCAAGATTCACGTGATTCATTTCATGAAACATTGTGTGCAATTTGTGAAATATTATTTCCTCCTCAATTAACAGATACAAGTTCAGAATGTGTCAATGATAATTCTGGTCGTATTAGTTTTGATGAAATGAGTGAACCTGACATTCCAAATCCAATTAATTATGAGAAAAAAGGTGAGTTCTTTAATAGTTTTTCTTATTCTGTTTCATGAATTTGAATATAGAATGATGATATCAAGAGAAAAAAATTGAATTCATTTGATCTATGTCAAATATGACATTATATTGTAATCATACAGATATATCGTTTTATTAGGCTATTATCTTCTCTACAAAATAGGAGATTAAAAAAAAAAACAATTATAGATTCTTTTAAAAGAATTGAATTGACATCAAAACTTTTCATTAGTTTCGATTATTTAACTTTAGTTTTATGAAACTTATAAAAATGATTATTAGGCTTATTTATTCAATGCAGTAAACAAATTTTTAGTGCTCATTATAAAAGATTCGATATGAATTCATCGTCACGTATCACTAATAACTAGAGAAATGTCTCAATTGATTAATCGGTTTTGAGCTGGAAATATGTGCATCATGTATACTCTAATAGTTTATAAATAAGTCGAGAATAGTTCAGGCTCGATTGGATCTAGAGCCGGATACGAACATTTTAGACCCGACAGGCTCTAGTTTAAGTGCATAGCTTATGATTACCGGCTACTTGTATTTTCACAGTATTTTTTAAATGCAATGTTGTGGTTCCTGTCAGGAACAGCAAGAAAACTGGTGTTCAAATTTCAATCTGAAACTTTGCATAGCAGCAAGCCTTAACGAAAATAGTTTTTTGTAAAAGCTTCAGATATGTTCGTTGTTCCTATCCCAAGATACAGTTTAAATCGTCTAATACTGCCATGGCTAACTATTCTTGTTAAAGTTTGTTTCTATGCAAAGTTTCACATCGAAATTCAAAAGTCAGTTTTCCTTGTTTTTCGAAGGGGCAAGGGCAATAGCATTGTATTGAAAAATACTGTAAAAATGCAATATGTCCACCGTAATATGCTATGAACCCGAATTCTTTGCGTAATATTCATAACTCATTAGCGTCTACATAATGCATATGCTTCCGACTCAAAAGTGATTGATCATTTAGGAAAATTCCTTTATAACATATCATTGAAGACAAGTTTATTTTCATTATTACATGCATACACTGTCTAATATCAATAACGACACTTGACGTATCGATTGTCAATTAATCGATAACTACCGTCATAATCACATTTCTACTGAAAGATTTTTGACGAATAGTGTTAGTGCAAAACTCCATTGATCATCGAATTGAGAGTAAAAGAATAATCTATTCAAAAAGAACAGATTCATTGACATTGATTCTTATTCTTTTCTGTTCATCTCGATTTCTTTTGAAAAAAAAAATAAATGCGAAAACTTCGGATTTAAATCCGAGAGTTATGTGTACTTCAAAAAGTGAATGAGACAGATGAGTCATCCTAGAATGTGTGGACATCAAAATTATCCTGGCAAATCTTTTCTATAAAATACTTGATTTCTATTGGCTACTCTCAACCAATAGGATTTGGGGATGAATACAGCTCAGATTTGAACTCTTCGCCTTGATTTACCCTAAGAAAGTCGTTTTTCCTATAA